TTTATAAATGGGTATTTTGTCATATCTTGCCCTGTCCGACGTCTCCCTTCACCCACTTTTCGGTTGTCTGTCCCCCAGGGAGGAGGTCACATATAGTTTCTTATAATCGGTTCCCTCTTTCGAGAAATAGAAGAATAAAAAAGGAAAAAGTACATCTAGCTTCCCCTCTCATGATCCTTCCTGGGTTTTTCAAGATCACCGTCACCTCAGATCAGATGTTCCTATTTATCTGATCTGTTGGCAAAGTAAAATATAGTCTTACTGTTTTTAAGAAATCAATTATCAAAGAGCTCCAGATTGGGCCATCAGCAGGCATAACCTTGCACTTGTTCCAGTGAACAAGATTGTGGCCTTTGGCTAGAGATTTTCATCTCGCGAAGGTCTATTTCCTTCTCTGTTTCATGAGTCAGGCCTTAATCCCTCACATCTTGCAGTTCAGTCTTATGACTTCCTTTAACAGTTCTCTCCTCCACCCCGAAAAACCACGGGGCAAAAGTCTGCATGGCTACCGCTGGCCCATCAAGCCTGCTCTGGGCAGAAACCATTGCCCCGCTGGCTCAGCCTTTCGCAGACTTTTCCAAAGCGAGGAAACAGGATCCCGAGTTTGGACATGTTAGGAGAAAACACCCGGCCGTCGGGCAGAGAATGCCACCACCATCAAGCAGTCCAGCGAGTGCACTAGAACTTGCAGGATGCGAGGGCCTGGAAGTGGTGGTACGAAAGGAATCACTCACACTGAGAGCGTGCCAATCACAACCAGACACCCTGCAGAAATGGGGATTCCTAAAAAGTTTTCTTGTCCCAGACGGGACCGCATCGCACGGGTGGGGAGTTCACTAGCCCCCTTTGAACCACGCAACCGCCCCCCACCCCTCTCTCGCTCCCCTATCTCCCTCCCGGCCACCTGCACCGGCACCTGCACGGCCCCTCCGCTCGAGCTCACCCACCGGCGGCGCGTGCTGTGCCACCACACAGGCGGTGGTCGCGGCCAGGAGGACGAACAGGAGGCGATTCTGCGACGCCATCGTTCCAGCCACCAGCGCTGCAGCCAGGGGACGCCGAGCGAAAGAGCCCGGGAGCCGCGCCACCAAGGCCAGAGCAAGCCCCGCCCCCGCCGCGACGTAGCGCCGGCCGGACCGCACCACGGAACAGAGGGGGCGGGGCTCCAGGAGAGGAGCGGCCGGACCGCACCACCGAGCAGAGAGGGGGCGCTCCAGGAGAGGAGTGGCCGGGCCGCACCACCAAGCAGACAGAGGGCGCTCCAGGAAGGAGGAGCGGCCGGGCTCTCCCGAGTCGCGGGAAAGGCGGAAGGAAGAGAAGGACTTCCGGGCTGTGGGAAGGTTCGGCCGAATGGGAACCTGCGCTCGCGTGAGGCAGAGAGGGTTGGTCTGCGCCCACCCGCGGGCCGACGTGGTTGGGCCGGGCGGAGCCACCCCCTCGGCGTCTGGGCGCGTCTCCCCTGGGGCCTCCGCGGAAGGTCCGCGCTCTGCGACGCTCTGGGCGCGGCCGCCGCTCTTCCCCGTGCGGCTGGGCAGCGTCGCGATCGGCCCGGGGAGATCAGAGGTGGGCGCGGCGCCCCCTCGGTACCAGACGCCCACGAGAAACATCCGTTCTCGTAAAACATGCCAGCGTTCTGTTGACAGCTGGCCCTGAGCGAGTCAGGTTATTGATCCTGACCGTGGAACTCTGGGGTCTGGGATGGGGCCGGGAAGGAAAAGAGCTCAGCTGGTGAATCGTCACCCACAGCACAGGGACAAGCCGCAGAATTTAGACTTCAGTCCTTGCCCTTAGAAAAGGTGACCGACCAGTAGAACCTCAGGACTTCACTTTAGTCGTCGTGGGGCAACAGTGTGTTCTCCCCTAGCTCTGGCCAGGCTGTGAGCTGACCGAGCCTTGCGCACCCTGGACGGCTGGGGACAGTTAGTATTTGCATAGCCTCCTTCAGAAAAACAAGGAGCTTCAAAGAAGCACCGTCCCTGCTTGGCATTCGTGCCAATCACGGAAGCCTTCTCTGGGGTTTTGTTGTTCTTAAATAGAGTAAGTTACTTAGAATTCCAGCTGCAAAGTCTACTCTCCTCGTGGCACTTTTTATTTGAGCATCTAAAACAAAACAAACCTTCCTTACAACTCACATAGACACAGCAAGTAGAATAGGGTCTCTGGGAGGTAGCGTGGGGAGGGTGGGGCTGAAAGGGAGCTGATGTCAAGGAGTTCAAGAAGGAAAAGCATGTTTTGAAAGTGATTGTGGTCGCAATTGTACAATATTGTTTGATGTGACTGAACTATGAAACAATATGATAACTGTATTAGCTCCCCAAAAATGGTTTTGAGGGGAGGGGGAGAAAATTAGGGTGTAATTTTCTGGGGAAACAAAACAAACTCAGATCACTAGTTATCTTAAAATTTGCATGCAAGATACCCAAATTCGGAATTGCTCAAGTTTCTTATATTCCTACAAGTATTTGCATATAGCCTAAGCACATCCTCCTATATTAAAACTATCTGTACATTACTTAGAATACCAAATACAATGTACACTCCCTCTTGTCCTTTGAGGGATTAATTTGGCCTTGTTTGTATTCACTCCCAAGAAGGGACAAGACTCCAAAAAACTGAATGAGAGCCAATTCACAAGACATAGTTTCATCTGCATGGGGGACTTAAAAACTGCCACTGCTTCCAGTGGCAGGCCAGCCTGGACAGAAAAGTTTGCATTGAGGGGGCCATCCTGGAGGATCTTTTTATAGTCTGAATGAGGTAGGCCACCAAAACCACACCATAGCCCCCCAAATTCACTGCCACCAAGTTGCTGCCAACTCATAGTAACTCTCTAGACTGGGTAGAACTGCTCTTGTGAGTTCTAGAGACTGTAACTCTATGGGAGTAGAAAATCTTGTCTTTCTCCAGAGAAGTGCTGGTAGTTTCAAACTGCTGACCTTTTGGTTAAGAGCCCAATGCCACCAGGGCTCCTACCTGCCTCCAATTAATGGTTAGTCAATGCTAGTAAAGAGAAGAAGCAAGGCGTATTGATAATGCGTCTGGGTACCCTTGGGGGCCCTGGGCAATCGTGGGGCAAAGCCCAAGGCAAAGAATTCCCAGGATGGACCAGAGCACCGTACTCCCATGTGGAGGGCAAAGAAGTAAGTCAGATAGAAAATGGGTCAATGAAGATGACAATTAATTTGAAAGGGGAAAAAGGGGTCCACCCCCACTCTAGACTGGTTCTGCCAGTCCAGTAGGCATGCCCACATGCTGGTATTGGCTGGGGCAACTTTCCACAACTGGCTGACAGTTGAAATTGTCAGCATTTTTCAACTGTTTGGTGGATTTCTCACATCAGCAACCATTGTGACCCAGCTGGTAAAACAAAAAAAAAAACAAAACCTAATGGAGTGAAACACTAGGAGTAAAAAGACCATGAAATGAGAGGCACTAATCATGGGTAAATCATGACCATCCAGCAAAGCACATGCAGTGGTAGTAGTGACCCCAGGCTGGGTCCAGGCCCCAGGCTAGAGGTCAGTGTAATCCAGTTCTAGGACGACATTGTTACCCAAGCCTAACACTGGGGTCACTTTATGGATTAGTGATTAGTCACTAACTAAGATTAGTCACAAGCCTGAAGGGGGTGTTGGGTATAACCATGGTGACATGGACACCCCTAACTTCAGTCCTTTCCCCCCAAGGGGTCAAGATAGGGAATCATTGAGGACTGGTTTGCCACAATCTTGGGAGAGAGACAACAGTCCTTCTAAGGTCTTCGCCCACAGGCAGTAGCAACAGGAAATTGTTGGAATTTCCAGGCAGGGGTTGGAATTTCCCTGCCTTTGTGGGGCTTGGAGTAAGAGTTGGTAGACCCTGGGTCATGTTGAAGGCTGGTACTTGTTGACACACTGCAGGGCCTCTGGTAGTCTCTTGGTCCAATGCTAATGTCTGGTGAAGTGGATCCCTGGCTATTGTTGATGTCTGGGAGAGGCCATGGATAATAGAGCGTTGTGCTACTCCTTGGCATGGATAAGCCTGCAGCAGGTCAGTGGCAGTGTCTGTATATGTTAGGGCATAATAGCAATATCAGAGATTAGGAGGAGAACTATGCTTTTCCAGTGAGTAGCTGGGCCAACCCGTGTAAGCCTCTATGGTTTGCTTCTGACAGGGAGACAGTCCCATATCTTTGGCAGCAGCTCATAGTGTCTGTTGTCCTCTGTGTCCTGTCCGCTGATAGAGCCACTGCACTACCTGTTTGGCACAGGCCTGCTCTACAGTGTGGAGCCGGGAGAGGCCAACCACCTAGGCATCTCCTGGTGGGCTGTGGGGCTATGGGCCTGAATGTGAAACATAGAAATGCCCATACCTTTGACCTAGACCCAGATGTCTTTCTATAAATCCACTCGCCACAAGGTCTGCTGGCCCACAAGCCAGTCCTGTTTGTTCCACTGTGCTAGCCATCATTTGAGTCCTTTGTATGTTGTCCGTGTGCAGGATGATGAGGCTGGGTTTACGCATCAGGATTGTCCAGGCAGGACTAGCTCAGCCCATTGGCTGCTCTGCCTTCCTTCCTCCCCTCCCCTGTCAATTGATGTGCCATCTGTAGATGGATGGATGGTTACTGCAGTCCAGCAGGAAGGGTTGCCTCAGAGCAAGCCACCTGTGAACGGGGCCTCCTCAGGTATGATCCCTGATCCCTAGCCGATGGGGCTTTCTTGCTGGGAAGCTCTTTGCTTTGTGGTCTTTTCTTTCTTGTTGGCATCTGACGCTGGCCCAGGGATCTGGTGCAGCTCAGCAGCTCAGGGACTTGACCACAAGGCACGTCTCTGAATTATAAGGGCTGCTTGGCTGGTGTCTGCCTCCAGTTACAAACTGTTGTTCACAGAGTTCTTTTTCATAGGTCTATATCTGGTCTCTGTGTGCTTTCCACGAAAACCCAGAGGAATATCCTTGGTGCTATTATCACAGCCCTTAGACACACCCCCTCAGGGTTCCTGGCAACAACAAATTCACACTCTTTCCCCACAGCTATAGTCCTTACAGCTGGTATTTTGCTGTAGTGCCACTTGAGCAGCAAAGCCCAGATCTGCCTCAAGGGACAATCCCCCATCACTCCTCTCTTTACTAGCCAGTACAAGGGGTATCAGATTTGGGCTAAGTGGAGAATGAAGTCCCTCCAATACCCTAACATACCAAGGGTGGCCTGTAGCTCTTTTCATTGAATGGAGCCAGGTTAGGCACAGACCTATCGGTTCCAACCTCTGAGACCACCTTCATCTTCCATGACCATATAGCACCCAGGAATTTGACTGATGAAAGTTCAGGTGGCTCAGCATGTTGAAGAGGGCCAACAAAATCCCAGGTTACCATGATCTAAGAGGCCGTAATTTCCTTATGCTCTGCAGGCAAGCTGCATTGCTTGATATTTACTACTAGGCAGGGGATGTTGTCCACTTGGCCCATCCTCAGATGTTGGATTTAACCATGTGGATCACAAGTGGAATTCACGGTAGTCAAGTGTGTCATGCCCCCAAAGAGTTCTGTTCCCAGAGGAGTGGGAAGATGTACACCTTCTATTCTTGGTGGGCACAGGTGGCCAATTGGAATGAAAGGGCGCTGTGTTCCACCATACCACAGACAGAGTAGCCAAGCAGTGACAGATGCCCTTTCCTCTGGCCTGTATTGGGTAGCCAACAGGTCCTGGGGAACTACACCCAATTATTGGGGTTGATACGTCACAATGTTGGTTTCTACAAGAAATCGTGGCTGTGAGGGAAGAATCCTGACTTCTTCCTCCCACCATTCCCCACTTTCTGCGTCCATAGAGGACTCTGGTGGGGGTGGGGTGGAGGGGTGCTCGTATTTAGAATCCCAATTCATTGTCATGATCACTGCTGGCACTCACTCCCAAGGCAGGCACCTGGAGACAGTTAGTTAGCATTTCCCTGGTGCCAACTCCCTTTACCCTGGCTTCATGTTCTAATTTCAGTTCCTCTTCCAGCAGCTGCACCTTCATCCACATGGCTATCTCAGTTTCTGTGGCAGCGTGCGCAGGACTCAAAGGG